ATCCACTTTTACAATGGATTATATTTCTCATAGTTATAATGTATTATAAGTCTCATATCTTGCCATTTTTCTTATGCTACTTTACTTAAAGCGGTCAAAGACCACTTATAAGCAGTAATAATAATAATAATAATAATAATAATAACAACAACATTTTTTTCTCTCAAACAGCCTTAAGATCAGATATCAGATCAGATGAATGTGTAATATGACACATTTGCTTTGAACTATTTTTATTGTAATATCAGTTTGATTATTTTGATGGTACCATTTAGACAGCTGTTGATGAATACCCTTACAATGTATTATAAATACGGGCTTCATAGAAAGTGTTATCAAAACTTTTACTGCTATTTAGGAGAACTCCTAGTGGTAAGATAAAATGTTTTGTGAATATGGGCCTTGTTATATAACCACACATTTTGCAATGTATTTCATTGTGATAATACCGTATATTGTAATAAAAGCTTCAGCAATTACCACATGTAATGCTTATGGAAGTCTTGTGTTTTCTTAGGTTCCTTGTTCTCCTGCCTTGTTGAGCTCTTGCCTTCCTAGGTTCTGATGGTTTCCTTGGTTCTGATCTAGTTTCCATGATTTCACTTTATTTTCAGGTGTTTCTGATTAGTTGATTAGGCCGAAAGGTAAGTAAACAGCAGCATTTCTCTTTGTTTTGCTTTTTTTCTTCCTTTTTTTATTTTTATTTTAGTTGCTCTGCCTGAAGCAGAAAGACCTTTTGCTGGAGGACCATACAAGGGACTTTTTAGATATGGTGTGCCTTATGCATTCTGACCTCTCACTCTGCGTTTTTTACCACCCCAGCCTTAGTGAATGGTGTAACACTGTGTCTACACCGGACGCAACAGTTGTAGTGTCGCAGCGCGCCACAACAGCTAAAGTCTGTCTACACTGGAGGCAACAAAGCGACCGCTGAAAATCATTTGAAATTTGTGTCAGTACGTCATAAATAGAATGCAGCAGCAGTTTACTGTTGGGATTTTGTCGCGCCGCACCTCACCGCATCCAGTGTAGACAGCATAATAGGTTCTATTGTATTTTGTCGTGCCGCTCGCGTCCGGTGTAGACACGGTGTAAGACACGCCTTCCAGCAAGCAGTTCCACGGTGCGTTCCAAACGGCATATATCGTCCTCCGAAGGGCACTTCAGAGTGAAAAGAATCATGGCCGCCATATTGAAGGGTCATTCTAAACCGAAGTGCTCAAAACTGGCCACTTCAAAGGGGCCCTTCAGAATGAAGGATTTCGAAGGGTACAACTCCCATGATCCTTTGCGCTGATTCTTTCCATGATGACGGTGCCTCTGTGTGGGCACGGGATGATGACACAGAAGGGCCCTTCAAGAAACAGTTGTTTGGTCCACTACACCCTTCAACCCTTCAAAGCTCTCACTCCAGAGGGTAAGCCCATTTAAGGGATTAGGGCATAGGGATGAGCCCTTCCGAATGGAACGCAGGGATAGAGAGAGCTTTGCCACATTTTGTGGAGTGGTGCTGGTGAATTGTGAATTGGTTTTCACAATCTGACCTGTGGAAGATGTCGCCAGCACCACTCCTGACTCAGAACCCAGCCTGCCATCACGCCAGAGCCCACTGCAGACGGAGAGCCCGTGTCCGCCGCAACACAGGAACCAGCGGTAGAACCCACGACTGAGTCCATTATCACCCCGGAGCCTGAGCCTCACAAGATTTGGCCAGGCGTGTGGGAATATAGTGGAGTACGAGGGCATGGAGGAAAGCCCTGCCCACGTTCCCACCACTGAGGGTGTGCTGCTGCTGGCCTCTGAAGCATTTAAATATATGGATGAGGATATGTATCTCCTGTCCCAGCTGGTTCCGTCCAATCCTGAATCTCCTACATCTCCTGTGTCTCCTGAGTCTCTGCTGGTTCCACCCAGTTTGTGTTCCCTCCCAGCCTCACTCTCCTGCCTCCTCTCCTAAAACCAGCCAGTTCCTCAGCCCTGTTTCCGCTGGTTCCTGTCAGTCGCTCAGCTTACCCTCAGTCAGCGCCATTTGGATGCTTTGATTCACCTTAGGCTTTCCAGTCTCCAGCTCCATCTAGGAGTTAACACAATAACAATTTTTTTTTGGCTTCTGATAATAAACATAAATGAAATTAAATGAGATTCAATTTTTACCTTTGTAGCCTCAGGGCAATGAACTGCAATCATGACTTGGTGAAAACTGTTCATTCTGTAGACAAGGCCATATTTTTCTCCACTTATGGGAAAAATTCCCTTCATGGGATCAAAAAAGTATCCCTACATCTATATAACGTTCTAGCTGAAGTTTGAATCCCGTCTCTGCCTCTGTCCCGGACTCAACCTTGGTCCTCTGTCCCTTCAGCTCTGCCTTGGCTTCTTGCTCCCTCCTCTCTACTGTGGTCTGTCATCCCACTGGCTCCACCGGGCTCCCCTGTCCCTCCGGCTCCTCCTTTGACAGTCGTCGACCTGCCTCCATCATGGGATTCTACTCCTCTGGCTTCACATCATCCCTCCATCCCTCAGGCTCCATCTAGCTCCTCCTTCCCTCCGGCTACATCTTCCATCAGTATTACCCTGGCTCTCCATCTGCTCGTCTCCAGCCTGGGCCCCACCTCTATCAACTCCGGCTCCATCAGTCAGTCTATTTTGGAAGATTCTCCTTCTTCGTGCACTTTATATAGAAAATTCCATAACATCACAACATGAAAATTTGATACCCTCATATATCTACAACTGAAGTATACCGAAGAGCATCTCTGAACATGTTGAATATTTTATTGGCACACTTTGGGCCCCTTACCAATTAAACATTATTTAAACACCACAGCCTATTAAGGAAGTTCTGAAGGTATAAGGGGGTCCAACCTGGTACAAATAGGATGTACCTAATAAAGTGCATGGTGTGTATTATTAAAAGGGTTAGTTCACCCAAAAATAAGAAAATATCCATATTTAAAATGTTATAAACACTTTTCTCTCACGTCCACTAACTGACGTACGTGTTGCGCAAGCGCCGGTGATTAGTGACGAACTCTGAAGCGTAGAGGAGAGACAGTAAAACAAAATGTCGGTCACGAATTAGAAGCACAAAATGAGGATTTGTAAAGAAAATGTTGGGAGATTTCGATATAAGCCAAGAGGAGACTGTTTATCATTATGTAAAATAAGGAAACCTTGTTTCCTTTATCCTGTAAACAAACTTGGGAGACTAGCATTTAAAACATTTTAAATATGGATATTTTTCTTACAAAAACGCATTGATTCGCTACAGGAGGCCTTTATTCTTTATTAGGCCTTTATTATTCCGGAGCTGTGTGAGGAACTTTTTTTTTTTATTATGGATGGATACGATTTATTGGACTTCTTTTGGACTGTTGAAAAAAAAACACCCGCTCAGTGCCATTATAAAGCTTGGAAGAGCAAGGAAATGTTTTAATGTAACTCCGATTGGATTCATCTGAAAGAAGAAAGACATATACACCTAGGATGCCTTGAGGGTGAGTAAAACTTGGGCTAATTTTCCTTTTTTGGGTGAACTAACCCTTTAATACCAAACTCAAGAAAGTAAGTCTTGTGTTTTAAACTGTTTTTGACTGTTTATTAAAATATTTATTATTAATTTTTTTTTTTACTCTGGTAACAAACTTTCATTAGGAATAAGAGGCCTCTTATTGCCCTTCCTTTCTGTCTCTTTCTGTGCTTACTCTCAGTCGCCATCTCAAATATAAGAAAGGCATATCAAGTAACTGAAACCACAACTGTTCTCATTCTATCAGTTAAATAATTAAGGAGTTGTTTTTCAAGTAAGATGTGCTGGAATGTTCCTGCAAGAGAGTTCAATTAAGATGCTAGGCAGAGCAAAGAAATCATAAGCAGATTGAACTGTTGGTGAAATAAATCTTTTTATGAATGGGTCACTGAATTATTGATTTACCCGAAAAAAGCTATTTACCTATTTACCTGGTTTACCTTTCAATAAAGCTATATAGTTCAAGATGAAACAACACTCTCTGTCTTGCTGAGAGACAACTTCTTTTTTTGGAAATTTTCTTTGGCGAAATTGAGAAAAAAGTCAAAATTATCCAGTAACTATGTACTGACATATGATTTTTAATCATTTCTTACATTTCATAATGAATTTAGATAAGCTCAGTGTTGAACTGTTTCCCAACATTTTAAATGTCAATTGGAATATGTGCAAAGGATTGTAGGTGATTTAAGGATGTGAAGGATGCAACCTTCAAAATACACAGGTGAAAGTCATGAAACAAAAGCTTACATGTCACTATGTGAGACATTTAAAATTCCTATTAAAATGGTCTAGTGCCAATAAAGTTGATTGCAAATGATTACAAAATAATAATAGTAGTTATCAGTGACAGCATATAAGTTTAGACTTATTTAGACTTATGGCAGCTATAAAACTTTTGAGAGTTGATGAGACTCTTGTATTGGTTAATGTTTGAATTATACAAGATGATGAATGCAGGCATAAGTACACAAGAGTTGGCACAAAACAAGGGCCTTAAACATGTCCTATGAGCAGTGTTTAATGTAGCAGATCACTCCGCTCTTGGGCCGTAGAGATCCCGTGTCTTTAATATCGAAAGACTGTCCAGAAACCAGACTGAACTCAAATCTCTGAAGCAGTTTGGCAAGCACGACTTTTGCCTCCATCTGAAAGTAGAAAGAGAGCAGAGTTGTCAAGATCACAGCAAATTTGGCACTTGGAAAACAAGTATCAATCAAGCATCTAAAAGAATACAAAACATGAGCCTGCATGTTCTGTAAGTCCATAAATTCTGAAGGAGAAAGGGAGGTACAAATGTGTGTGTGTGTGTGTTGTGTGCTTCATCACCTGTGAGAAGACCTGCCCCAGACAGGTTCGTGGACAAAGTGCAAATGGATAGTAGCAGTAATAAGGCCTTACAGATAAGAACACAATTAGAAATCAGCAGATTTCATGCCAAAATGTCACAATATAAAGGTGTGTTCATGTCGTAAATACTGTAATTACAAGAATCTGACTTGTAAAAAATCGCTCACGTCCTCATTGAACTTGAGCAGTAATTATAATTTGTAAATTCTTACTGCTGTAACGTCATGCAAAAATGTTTAAATGGCAATGGCTTTAACAGTAAAATGTTGTTAAAGGGATAGTTCACCTTCAGTTGCTGGTCCCCAGCAAGGACGTGAACTTAAAGAGAAATATTAAAATTTGTAATCTTGTAATTACCATAATTACGGCATGAATGCAACATTCTAAAATACTAAAACAGAGGGTAAAATGAGACTGTGATAATGACTTACTTTGGGGCATTCACATTAAATCTCTCTGGCTCAAACTTCAATGGATCTTTAAAAAACTTTTCCAGTCTTTGGGAAACATAAAAATTGAACTGTATGGAAAGATATGAAAATAATTAAAAATACTCATATATTCATGTAAAATGAGTTCCCCTTCAAGGGAACTCGTGCTGTGTCTTGAAGCACGTGTGAAATCAGTCCAATGGAGTGTCGAGACGTCACGGGCGGGGTGATGTAAAGACCAGGAAGCGTTATACAGCATCGTCCCTTAAGGCCCCAACATTACCCACCAAGCCATGTAGAACAACTTTGGCTCTGGTGGGTAAGGCGTATATGGTGGCAGGTCAAGCTGGGGCGTGTCTGTATGCTATGGCTCTGTCGCAGGCATACCAGCTAAAAGACCTTGATGAGAGCAAGGGGGTATATCTGGACACGAAACAAGAACTGTGCCAGGCCACAGATTAGTCTCTTTTGTCCCACAGATTTGTCCCACTAAGGAGACGGCCAGGGCCATCTGTTATTCTATGGCAGCCCTGGTGGCCACAGAGAGGCATCTGTGGTTGAACTTGCCCAAAACCAAAGAGATGACACTCTCAGCTGAGGTCTTCTAAAGAGAAGGTGGAAAAGGACTGTCATTCTCTCTAACTGGGCGTCAGTGAAGTCAGTGAAGTCCTGAGACTATGAGCCTCAGACTTCTGAAGACAGACTCCTGTGGGGAGAAATGGAATACACCTCAGCATTCTGGCCAGCCTGAGAGTGGTTCTCAGCCCTGGCGGCCCTCCTTGATGGAAGGAGGGACCTTCAGTCTCAATCCTTCATGACCAGAGTTATAGAAGCTATGGGTGTGGCCTCTGAGGGGGTACAACTCATATATTCCAGTCTCTCAATACTCCACTCCAAAGCTCCCTCCACAAGAAAACAGTATGCCTTTAAGTGGGCTTCTGTTCACTTTGTGCGGAAATCGATAGCATGACTCCGTTTAGTTCAGTGCTGGAGTTTCTGCAGTAGCGATTCTCTGCAGGGTGATCTGAATTCAGCTTAAAGTTGTACATGATGGCCATAGCTGCTTAGCATGCCACTTTGGGTGGTCAGTCATTGGGAAGAAACCTGCCAGTGACTCGTTTCCTCTGTGGTGCCTTGAGGCTGAGGCCTGTAAGCCACAGTAGTGTCCCGGCTTGGGATCTGGATCTTGGTCCAGTGAGAGCGCTGGACACTTATGTCCACGGAGCTGCCCTATGGAGAAAGACTGATCAGTTGTTTGTCTGCTTTGGTCCGCCGATGTTGAGGAGGTGGATAGTCAAGGCTATATCCCTTGCTTTTGAGTCCTCTGACCTTTTTTTTGCCTTTGGGGGTCAGAGCGCATTCAACTCAAAGTATGGTGGCTTCTAAAGCTTTTCTTTCAGGGGTGTCCCTGCAGGACGTTTGTGATGCAGTGGGCTGGTCCTCCCTGCTCACATTCATCAGATTCTATAATTTATACCAGGGACCTACGCCAAGCTCTCAAGTTCCTCTGTCATATCTAGACAGGCATTCATCAGCATGCACGAGTTCCCTTGAAGGGTGATGTCTCAGATTATGACTGTAACCATGGTTCCCTGAGAGGGAACAAGACTCTGGGTCGTCCCCCTGCCATAATTCCTGCATTCCTGTGAATGACTTGCTTCACCTGTTCAGCGCTGTTTTGTTTCTGGATGCACTATTAAGCTTCCTACGTCACCCTGCCTGTGACGTCTCGCCACTCCACTGGACTGATTTTAAACATGCCATGATGGCTACATAATGAACGGACTAGCCGTACTGGGAATCTGGCAATACTCACAATAACAGCACAGCCCCCTGGGATTTTCAGCCCATTTATAACCATGTCCTCATGTAGCCAACGACTGATTCCTGGAGCAGTTGGGTACAGACGCAGCATTTCCTTTAACACCTGCAGCATTGAGTCAGTAACACAAAGACCATTTAAAGAAATTGATACAAAACCATTTGTTTTTTGTAGCATGTAAAAAACATCTCTGCAGACCAAGCTGAGATAAGTAGGTGAATTTTCCAAGATCTTCATATGAAATGTCTCTTTTCGTCCCAAGGATTTCATCCACCTCTGCTTTAGCCCTGGGAAGGAAAGGAAATTCACTAGAAATCATTGTAATGCAAGACGGATGGAAAAGGTCAACATTTCCAATAAGTGTTTTTACCGTTTATATATCTCAGGATGTCTCCCTAATTCCATGATTGCAAATGAGAGCTGATTGGATGTTGTCTCTTGCCCTGCAACATAATCAAGCACTGTTTATAACTGCAGGGGTTTATGAACAAAAATCAAGCAATGCTGTAACTCACCAGCAATGAAGAAAGTCACAAAATTGTCCAACATCTGCTCATGATCTTTTGTGTTATTAACGTTTTCCTCCTCTGTAGCAAAAAATGGAAAGTGTTAACTGTAAATGTAACTCTAAAAGGCACATATTAATATTTGTTGAAAAAATCCCACAAATTAGGATAATTCAAAGACATTGCAATGCTGTAAAAGATGAGTAATGTACAGAATAGACATTTTTAAAGTGATTTTTTGGTTTATTTCCATATCATTAAACATAAGCCTTTAAGTCATTTTGTAATCACCTTTGTGATGTTTTATAATTGTTGATCAAAGCAACCGTGTTGGATGGATGCCTTTAGCCATCGAATTAAACAGTTTAACTTAAAATGTGTCTTAAGACTCCTATAATCTGTTCCTATCAGTATTCTTTCGCAAACTTGTAATTTCACCTGAATTGCTCCAAAGAAAATTCATTACCAAATTTTTCACACTCGCTGCAAACAATTAAACCTTTTCTGTTCCTTCTAATTGCACTTTTGCTAACTTGTATTTGAACTTTAATAGTTTAATTGCTATTCACCAAATTTTACCAAAGGGAAAAGGGAAAATAAATACACTTCATACCCTTTAACACCTCAGCCATTTGAGACCCACATACCTGCTGTTTTGAGAATTTGTGTGAGAATGTCTTTGGGGACGTCTTCTCCATTTTCTATTGCTGTCTTCCTTTTTTGTATCCATTTCTCTCCCGTTTTACGCAGGAGTTCAGTTGCATCTTTAGTTTGTTGTACAGTCTTCAAATTCCTTGGAAAAAGCTGAGGACCCACAAATGAAAAAACACACACAAAGAAACTGATTATATAGCATTAAAGCGTTAGTTCACCCAAAAATGAAAATTAGCCCACAAATTACTCACCCTCAAGTCATCCTAGGTGTATATGACTTTCTTCTTTCAGACGAATCCAGTTGGAGTTATATTAAAAATTGTCTTTGATCTTTCAAGCTGTTTAATGTCACTCAGCGGGTGTTGCATGCATCAGTCCAAAAGAAGTTAAATAAAAAGCGCCCATCCATTAAAAAAAAGTGTCTCACACGGCTCCGGGGGGTGAACAAAGGCCTCCTGTAGCGAATCGATGTGTTTTTGTAAGAAAAATATCCATATTCAAAACGTAATAATCACTTTAATGTAGCTTGCGCCAACAGTCCTACACGGAAGCCGTTCCGGGCGTATGAGTTCAGTGTTGCGCATGCGCCGCTCAGAAGTGACGAACGCGGAAGCGCAGCGCAGAGATCAAAACAAAACACTTATTAGAAGTTCAAAACGAGGATTTGTAAAGAAGAATGTCAAAGGATTTCGATATAAGCCAAGAGGAGACTAGTTTTCCTTTGCTAAAGTAAGGAAACTTTGCTTCCTTTGCTCCTGTTAACAAACGTTGGTCTTCACGAGACTCACCGGCGCATGCGAAACGCTGAACTCATACGTCATGCTCCCGGAGCTGCTTCCGTGTACAACAGTGAGTGCAAGCTACATTAAAGTGATTATTAAGTTTTGAATATGGATATTTTTCTTACAAAAACACATCGATTTGCTACAGGAGGCCTTTGTTCACCCCCGGAGCCGTGTGAGACACTTTTTTTTAATGGATGGGCGATTTTTATTTAACTTCTTTTGGACTGATGCATGCAACACCCGCTGAGTGCCATTAAACAGCTTGAAAGATCAAAGACAATTTTTAATATAACTCCGACTAGATTCGTCTGACAGAAGAAAGTCATATACACCTAGGATGACTTGAGGGTGAGTAATATGTGGGCTAATTTTCATTTTTGTGTGAACTAACCCTTTAACCCTACTAATTTAGAATGACATAAGCATCTATGGATAAATTCTCTTACTGTAAAAAATGGGTCTCTGAGACAGAATACCATGCCCTTTAAACACTGATCTATTGCCTTCTGGAAGGGGGTGTCAGTTTGCTTGAACAAATTTAAATCAGCACCAAACGACGCCTGTGGATGAAAACATGACTACTAAGTATTGATCAACAGCTAATTTGACCTTCATTGCATTAGACCTTCCTTTTGAATAAACAGGAAGAAGAGTGAAACCTTGCAAATGACGTCGAGTGTGACACAGTTGACCAGGTCATGCATGATGGTAGGTGTTTTTGTGTTGGCTATTTCCTCCAGATGGTCCATTAGGCGCTCAGACATCTCATTAAAAGTGCCCATCAAGCATCGTAAGTATCTGACGGATAAGACAGCATCAGTTGAGTTGCATCTCTATCTCATTTCAGTATATCAGAGATGTTCTTAACTCACGTGCTGCTAAAAGCTGGATCAATGATGCGACGCTGCCTGTACCAGACGTCATGGTCCATAGCCGTCACTAACCCGGTTCCAAGGAACCTGAGAAAACTGATTGAGACTTGATATAATTCTCTGCGGCGTCTTTTTTAAAACATCAACTTCAACATAACAAATAATAATAAATATACAAAGTCTAAAAATATACAGTCTACTCCACCTTCCAGCAATGCTGCAAACCTGCAGATTTAAAGTTTGTGCTCTTTTAATTTAGCTACTTTATTAAATTTGTTACACTGTGATATATTGTTCTTGCTTTGGTCACATCTATGCTGTGATACAAATGTGCAGGTCAGACTTTACCAAAGGTGAAATTCACATTTTAATTGATTGATGACCAGGAGAAACAGGAGACAAAAAAAATTCTTATAAATCATAAAAATAGGCATATTGCTTTGTAAAATGTGCAGGAACCCATGAATAGTACAACATATCATTGTTTGCTTCATTTCACGATACGCAGACACCCCTTTAAATACAACTGATCATTCTGTCAATCGTAATTGGGTGACTTCTTTCAAACTTTAGAGGGTTGAATATGGGTTTATAAAAAGTGAGGAAATGAGTGACAGTAATGTGGGGCAAATGTTTACCACTTTTACCACTTTATACAGGTATATTTACATGTATTTTTTCTTATTAATTTTGATCACAACAGAGATTATATCTGAAGAACCCATGAAATGGTGGAATTAATTTTCTTATTGTCAAGAAGATACTCCTCCCCTCATGTCTGTACTGTCTCCTCCAGTCAAATGCACGTATAAAGGCATATAGATGGATATAAACCTATTAAACATGGGGTCTCTACCATACAAACTTTTAGATGATGATGAGGGTGGAAATGTGTCTTAGTGTAGCCCACTGTTATCAATGTAGAGATATTGAGACTAGACTACACCTAGCAATGCTATGGCATATCCACAACAAATTAAAGCTTACCGTTTTCCAAACAAGTTAAAGAGGCGTTTGTAGACAAAGGGATCTTTAAGAGAGAGTATAGGGTGCTATGTGACAACAAATTTGATTGATGAGGGTCATAAAAATTCCACCCCCCACCCATAAGTGGACACCTGTTCCTGTACACCCCCGCCCCCATCTAACTGTCCATCTGTTTATCCACCCCAATGATCCGAAGGAATTTATGATTGTTTGGGAATATGTTTTTTGTGTGGGTCAGTTGAAACTGTTCAAAACAATGTGCTTTAAACTTTAAATTGTGAAACGTGGTATGATTATTAAACGGGATAAGGGAAGTTTTTATTAAAGTTTTCACACATACATTTCAAGAAAAACATCAAACATACGCGGTATATAAACAATGTAATGACTGGTCAAGACGAATATTTAAGTGTTGTTAATTTAAAAACTAGTTAGAGTTTGTTACAAGTTAGAAAATAAAAATAAAACTAGGTTACTGACCATCTATCTAAACAAAAAAAGAAAAAAAGTATCAGATATTTCGTTAAACAGTACGTGGCAGTCAAAATCTTGTAACATTACAATGTAAAAGTTTGAGAGTTTGTTACCAGTTAGAAAAGAAAAGAAAAAATGCTGACTTATCTTACCGTGATCTAAAACAAAAATATCAGACCGTTAAGCGCCAGTAGTCAACATCTATGTTGTATTCTACCATTAGATACAATTTAAAAACTAGTTAGAGTTTGACAAAGTTAAATAAAAAGAAAATGCAACCATCTATCTAAAACAAAAAGTATCCTTCCAGATGCGTTCGTTAAACAATACGGCAGTTTTTCTATGTTACAGTTTTTAAAGTTAGAGTTTGTTACCAGTTATAAAATAAAATAAAAAATGTTGACTTATCTTACTGTGATCTAAAACAAAAATATCAGACCTTTAAGCAATAAGATACTTGTCAAAATCTATGTTGTTGTGACGAGAGGGGCGGGGCCGAGAGCCGTGGGAACGGAGCGAGACCGGTGAGTGGCGCAGGTGTCGCTCATTAGCAATTACTCCACCGGCCTCGCTCCGTTCCCACGGCTCTTTTCTTTATGAATTAGACCTAAATTAGACTGAAAAGTAGTTGCCATAAGGTTGTTTGCAACTAAAGTATTTCTTAAACAAGGTGCTACGAATGTCTCACAGAATCATAACTACAGTAACTACAGATTAGACTTTCTTTCTTTCTTTAAAAATGTATTATTAACCATGGTGTTTAAATGCAGCATATTTCTTTTCACAGTATAATGTTTTATTTTATTAAAATAAAAACAACTGTCTATATAGGTTATTTTACTAAGATTTGAGCAAATAAATGATAGAAGAAATCATTCAAATAATCGATAAGTCCAACTGTTCAACCCCACCTGATGTGTCTGATGGTTTGTGATGACATAAATATCTTACTGATACAGATGTGTAAAGTTCAATATTACTGTTAAAAATAGTTTGAAAAAAGTAATATTTTTTAGCTTTCAAATAGGATTCACGGCCATAATCAGTTGGTTCTTGTGTAACAGAGTCCTGAGACAGGTGAAAATAGAATGCGTGAAAGACTTTTCTCTTTAAGATATTATAATGACAGACTAAAAACTTTAGATTGGTTAAAACAACTGAGGTTATGCATTTCTCTTGAATATGTATACAATAACCAGTGAGTACATGAAACATTATTGTAAACACATAACCTTGTAAATTCAGCATGATTCTATCATATTAATCAATAATTAAAAAAAAGACTTAATTTATATACCATATCTGGCTTTCTCGTCAAAATGTGATAACATTTTTTTTTTTGACTTTTTAAATGTCGAACAACCGTTTTGTTGGAAATTAAAAAAAAAACATAGTGTTGTGTTTCTAAGTTAGAATGCTTATAGTTTGTAGTAAAATCACATCTATAAGCTAAAACATTTTTCTTTCAAACTCTCTCATGCACCCCATATAGCTTTCACAGACACCACCACAAACTGACAAAATCATTCTTAAGCTTGTTTTAACATTTAGCTGTAGCTGAGACCCCTGATGGAATTATTTTACGCACAGTGTTGGGGAGGTTACTATGGAAATGTGATAGGTTATTACAAGTTACCCTATTTAAAATCTAATAAGTAGTGTAACTATTTCAGTTACTTTAAAAAGTAATGTGACTCATTGCGTTTGATTACATTTTTTATTACTTTTCTAAATATGTAATGCTTTCAACTGTTAATCTTTTGAAACATGTAAACCAGCCAGGGTTAACATCACAGTAGGACTCATCAACTAATTACGGTCAGACTTTCAAAAACCTTAATTAAATAATAATTTAATAATAAATTACGTAATTTAGCTATATGTAACTAGTTGCTTCCTAACACTGTTTCCCTTTCAGTCGGTCACTCTCGACGTCACGTCGGAGGACTGACGAATTGGGATCTCGCTTAGAGGGACCAATCTATTTTGAGTGTAAACTAAACGAGCCAATGCACATTGGCATGCGATTATTGCATCCTGAACAATATCACTTAACACTAGTTTGGCATACAAGGGGTATGCTCATAAAACAAGCCAGACCCCCGATTTGAAGCATCGTAACAAGTATAGCCATTGCAGAAATTTTATTATAACGACGCAGTAAGATAAAACTCTGGATGCACGATCGACCGACTTATCACATGTTTAACATATTATTACAAGGCTCTGTTTACATAGCTTATGGTGAAATATACGAGTGAGCTAACAGTCTGTAAAAATACCGGTCAAGCTCAACATGCAGAGACAGAGAACTCAACAAACATACACACCCTTCGAGTCACGAAACACCCTGTCTAACACAATGCACATTCTCTAGAATGCGGTGATGACGGGTTCATAATTTCGTGATGATGACCGACCGGATATTCAGACACCAGCACCTGATTGACTTTTTCTAAAGATAAAGCCAATTATTTGCTTTCAGGAACACACGAATCCTAACGCCTAGCGCTTCACAAGGTAGCATAACAACAGTTGCTCCATTACAACATAGCCTACACGTCAAGACTGTTTTAGCATAGCCTACGTGTATCGTATTATTCTTGAATATAAGCGTTTAGTCTAAATATGTTTTAACAATTCTTTTTGCTTTTGTTTTTACAAAGGTGTCCAATTGAACATGTTTAACTAATACCTCATTCAAGAGCTTTTCAGGCCTGGGAACTACAATACCCAGCATACACCTCAGACTTCAAACATGGCCGCCGGGGATCCATATCCCAAAATACTCATACATGGCAGCGCTCTAAATCGTCGGACTTCCGATTAAACGCATGCTCAGATACCCTATATAAAAAGACTCACATTTCCACACTTTTTGTGAAGTATACGCTCCTTCCATGTTGTGATGTTACAAACCCGTTTTTAGTGATGCAAAGTCCGATTCACTTCTGCGAAACGATTTATTTGGACAGTTCGGTTCAATGAACCGGTTCAAAGAACCGATTACATCGGCTCCTTAAGTCATCTCGCAGTTATGTCAGTATACATTTCTTTATTATATCATCCTAGTTTATATCAGATATCAGATACAAGATTGTTTCTTATTAATTATTAATTATTAAATTGATAACAACAAACAAAAAAAGTTTATTAACTCAGAGAACAGAATAACGAGTTAAGTGGGTCAACCTTTTATTTCAACAATATATTGTTGAATATATATTAATGCACCGATCTTTTGTTTTCTTTCTCTTTGTTTTCTTTTCTGGCTAGATCGCCTGTAATGTCATTAGTACTGTTTGTTTGTAATGGCAATTTGATAATTTTCTTCACTACTTTGATGTATGAATATATATTCAACAATATCAAATTGCCATTACAAACAAACAGTACTAATGACATTACAGGCGATCTAGCCAGAAAAGAAAACAAAGAGAAAGAAAACAAAAGATCGGTGCATTAATATATATTCAACAATATATTGTTGAAATAAAAGGTTGACCCACTTAACTCATTATTCTGTTCTGAGTTAATACATTTTTTTGTTTGTTGTTATCAATTTAATAATTAATAAGAAACGAACTTGTATCTTATATCCGATATAAATTAGGATAATATAATAAAGAAATGTATACTGACATAACTGCGAGATGACTTAAAGGGTTAGTTCAGTCAATAATGAAAATTAGGCTGCATTTCACTCACCCTCAAGTCATCCTAGGTGTATATCACTTTCTTCTTTCAGACGAATCCAGTCGGAGTTATATTAAAAATTGTCTTTGATATTTCAAGCTCTATCGTTGTACTCAGCGGGTGTTGCATTCCTTCGGTTCAAAAGACGTGAAATAAAAAGCACCCTTCCACAAAAAAAAGTGTCTCACACGGCTCCGGGGGGTGAACAAAGGCCTCCTGTAGCGAATCGATGCGTTTTTGTAAGAAAAATATCCATATTCAAAATGTAATAATCACTTTAATCTAGCTTGCGCCAGCAGTTGAACACAGAAGCAGTTCCGGGGGGATGACGTATGAGTTCAGCGCTGCGCATGCGCCGGTGCGTCTCATGAAAACCAACATTTGTTTACAGGATCAAAAGAAGCAAAGTTTCTTTACTTTAGCAAAGGAAAACAAGTCTCCTCTTAGCTTATATCGAAATCCTCCGACATTCTATTCTTCTTTACAAATCCTCGTTTTGTACTTCTAATTAGTGACCGGTTTTGTTTCGATCTCTTCGCGTGCGTCACTTCTGAGCCGCGCA